TGTTGGGCCATGAAAACAGGAACTAGGACTCCGGACCACTGTTTCTCTGAAACCAAAGCTCAGCAACCAAAAAAGGATCAAAAAAGCAGATGGTGGAGGTGGAGCAAGGAAGCTGCACTTCTCAGTGCCCCTGGGCTGTCCTCAGCCCCACCTCTGGCACAGGTGGTCCAAGGAGCCCAGGACTCCACAGCGGGTCCTACCCTTGCGGGTGAACTGCCTTCTCTCCCAGCCTCCACAGCCACACATTCCAAACAGAGACACCACCACCTCCCTGGCCTACCACTTGAGAAATTACAGAAAGAAAACAAAAGGTGGCTCATGTTTGGGCCAGCAGCCTGTCTAGCTATGGACTACACAAAAATAATAAAAACAAATGATAATATTGGCTTTGATTTTCCTTTTCTTTTCCTTTATTTGTATTTTTTTTTTTGAGATAGGGTCTTGCTGTGTTGCCCAGGCTGAAGTGCAATGGCATCATCATGGCTCACTGCAGCCGCGATCTCCTGGGCTCAAGCAACCTTCCTATCTCAGCCTTCCGAGCAGCTAGGACCACAGGTGCACACCACGATGTCCAGCTAATTAAAAATAATTTTTTTTGTAGAGACGGTCTCACTATGTTGTCCAGGCTGGACTCAAACTTGTGGGCTCCAGCAATCCTCCCACCTCGGCCTCCCAAAGCTGTGGAATTACAGGCATGAATTCTAGGCAGCTGTGATCTACCAGGCACCCTGGTGGGTGGGTGGGTGTTCACATATATTATGATCCCCACAACAACGCTATGAGAAGGCAGGCATGGTCCTCACCACCACCTTACAGGTAAGGAAAGCAGAGGTTCAGAGAGCTCAAGGGACTTGCCCATGTACACACAAGCTTGTCATAAGAGCTGGGATTCACTCCCAGGGGTGCTGACTCCACAGCTGTGCTCCTCACTCTCCTGTCTGCCAGGCATGAGGAGAGAAAGAGAAGCAGCCTGTTTCCCAGTTGGAAGGGGCCCTTCCAACCTATTCTTTTTTTTTTTTTTTCTTGACACAGGGTCTCACTCTGCTATTCAGGCTATAGTGCAGTGGCACAATCACAGCTCATGGAAACCTCCGCCTCCCGGGCTCAGATGATCCTCCCACCTCAGCCTCCCAAGTAGCTGAGACTACAGGCGCATGCCACTAAGCCTGGCCAATTTTGTTTATTTTTTGTAGAGACAAAGTCTCCCTATGTTGCCCAGGCTGGCCTCAAACTCCTGGACTCAAGCGATCCTCCCGCCTCAGCCTCCCAAAGTGCTGGGATTGCATATGTGAGCCACTGCTCGCGGCTCCTTCCACCCTATTCTTTCCATTTGGAAGATAGGGATGTGCAGTTCCTGCCCCCACAACAGCAAGGGCAGGGTGGAGAGAAAGAGAAGGAAGAGGGCATAGGCCTCCCCTGGGCCAACGGTCCTGCTGGGGCAGGTCTGCCTCCCCAAGGCCCAGGTCCACCTGCCTACTGCAGTCATCACAGCCACTGCCTCCTGGAAGTGACGTCACCACGGCCTGTTCCACATTCTGGACAAACAACTCCACCTCCTTCTCTTCCAGGCAATTGAGAACTCAAGCTTAAGGTTACTGATATGCAGCTCTGTTGGGCAGGGATACCTGCTAGATGGAAAAGCTGCCTGGGCCAGACCTGTGTGCTTTGGTCAGAATGCTCCCCTGGCAGTCCCAGAGCACCTGGAGACCCACTCCAGATAAGGGCACCACATCGAACAGTCAGTAGCTTCACAGGCCTTTGCCTCCTCCTGGAGATGCATGACTCACCTTCAGGCTCCGGTTCTAGAGAGTCTCGGAGGTCTCCAATCCATTGTTTCCCAAACTTATTTAGCCATGGACCCTCTCCTGCAGATTCCTGCTGTCCTACAATCCTCAGCCTCATCCCACCCTCTCTGCCCCTCCCAGACTCCTCCCATTTCCCCTGTCCCCACCAGGTCCCAGATCAAGCCTGATCTGCCACAAGTCCACTATGTGCCCAGCCCCACATAGCCCTGAGCCCACCTGCAGGAGTGGACTTGGCCCACCTCCTCCTCGACCCCCACATTGAGCAACTTTGTGGGGAAGGGAGATAAGCAGGAAGGAAAGAGGCTCACAGCCAAGCCTGGGAGGAAAGAGCAAGCTACAAGCAGTGTGTCCTCTAGGATACTATTTTGTGGTGGTTGTTGAAAAAAAAAAAACATCTGTGTATCTATGCATAGAAAAACATGAAAGACATGTATCAAAATATTAAAAGTGATTATTTAAAGTTGGGGGATAGATCAGCAAATTTTTTCTGTCAGGGGCCAGAGAGGGGCTGAAGGTGGAGCTCATCACCAGTGGCCAGTGATTTAATACAACATGCCTACATAATGGAGCAGCCATAAAAACCCAAAAGCACAGGGCTTGGAGAGTATCCAGGTTGCTGGACATGCAGCAGTGGTGCATCCGGAGGGGGCCCGGACGCTCCGCATGCCTTCCACATACCTAACCCTATGCACCACTTCCACCTGGCTAGGCTGTACCGTACACCAGTCATCAAGCAAGTAAACTGCTCTCCTGGGTTCCATGAGCTCCTCTGCAACTTATGGAACCAACTTCTGTCTGTTTGTAGCCAATTCAGACAGAAGTTGCTGGTAACCTGGGGACCTGCTACTTGTGACTGGTGTCTGCTATGGAAGGCAGTCTCTCAAGGGACTGAGCCTCTGTGCCCCTCCCAGACCCCTTCCATTTCCCCTGCCCCTGCCAGGGCCCAGATCAAGCATCAGAGGTGAATTTAATTGTAGGAAACCCAGCTGGTGTCAGAGAACTGGTTGTGAGTGGGGGAAAAAAACCCCACATTTGGTCACAGAAATGACTTGTGTTGTACTGAGTATAAAGCAGGGCCAGGCACAGTGGCTCACGCCTGTAATCCCAGCACTTTAGAAGGCTGAGGCAGGAGATCACTTGAGTCCACGAGTTTGAGACCAGCCTGGGCAACAAAGTGCAACTCCCTCTCTACAAAAAAATACAAAAAATTAGCCAGGTGTGATGGTGCACCTGTCGTCCCAGCTACTCAGGAGGCTAAAGTGGGAGGATCACCTGAGCCCAGAAGGCGGGAGTTGCAGTGAGCTGAGATCACACCATTGCACTCCAGCCTGGATGTCAGAGCAAGATCTGTCTTTAAAAAAAAAAAAAAAAAAAAGAGGCCGGGCGCGGTGGCTCAAGCCTGTAATCCCAGCACTTTGGGAGGCCGAGACGGGCGGATCACGAGGTCAGGAGATCGAGACCATCCTGGCGAACACGGTGAAACCCCGTCTCTACTAAAAAATACAAAAAACTAGCCGGGCGAGTGGCGGGCGCCTGTAGTCCCAGCTACTCGGGAGGCTGAGGCAGGAGAATGGCGTAAACCCGGGAGGCGGAGCTTGCAGTGAGCTGAGATCCGGCCACTGCACTCCAGCCTGGGCGACAGAGCGAGACTCCGTCTCCAAAAAAAAAAAAAAAAAAAGAGAGAGTATCAGGTAGAAGAAAACAGTAAGTTTGCTTTATTCTACTAAACAAGTTGTGGGGAAAAGGAAGAGAGATCAGCCTGTTACTGTGTCTATATAGAAAGAAGTAGACATAAGAGACTCCATTTTGTTCTGTATTTGAGATGCTGTTAATCGGTGACCCTACTCCCAACCTTGTCCTTGCAAGAGACATGTGCTGTGGTGACTCAAAGTTTAACGGATTTTGGGCTGTGCAGGATGTGCTTTGTTAAACAAGTGCCTGAAGGCAGTATGCTTGTGAAAAGTCATCACCATTCTCTTAATCTCAAGTACCCAGGGACACGTACACTGCCAAAGGTCGCAGGGACCTCTGCCTAGGAAAGCTAGGTATTGTCCAAGGTTGCTCCCCGTGTGATAGTCTGAAATATGGCCTCGTGGGATGGGAAAGACCTATCGTCCCCCAGCCTGACACCCGTGAAGGGTCTGTGCTGAGGAGGATTAATATAAGAGGAAAGAAGGCCTCTTGGCAGTTGAGATAGAGAAAAGCATCTGTCTCCTGCCCGTCCCTGGGCAATGGAACATCGAGGTGTAAAACTCGATTGTATGTTCTGTTTACTGAGAAAGGAGAAAACCGCCTTAGGGCTGAAGGTGGGATGTGCTAGCGGCAATGCTGCTCTTTATGCACTAAAAAGGTTTATGGAGATATTTGTATATGCATATCAAGGCACAGTGCTTTTCCTTAAACTTATTCATGTCACAGAGATCTTTATTCATTTGTCTTACTGCTGACCTTCTCCCTACGATGATCCTATTATCCTGCCACTTCCCTTTTTCTAAGATGGTAAAAATAATGATCAATAAATACTGAGGGAACTCAAGAGACCCAGGAGCAAAAGCCTACGGAAGGCATTCCAGGCACTGTGGCTCTTAGGTCTCAGATAGGCCAGTATTCCGAAGGACCTCAACACAACCCACAGGAAAACAAGCATTTCTGCTGCCTCGTCAGCAGGGACAGCCACAGCCCTGGCGTGATGCCAGAACTTTACTTCTACCATACTTTCCCTCGTCCCTCACCACTCCTTAAAAGCTGGAATGAATAGATATCTGCCTTCCCATTGGGTTTTTGGGGAGCGTGAGGCTCAGAGGAACCAAATAACTTCATTCACACCGCAGACGACAGTGGACAAAACCAGACCCACTGGCCAGCTCACTGTCCTTTGCTTTTTCAACATCACCTTCCAGGTGCCCTCCGCCCTACCCTCTTGAGATGCCCATTCCTGTTTCTCTTCTTAGCAGTCTCCCCTGAGCACACACAGGCTTTATTGCTTCCGTGGCTTCCTGAAGCGTGGTCCTTCCCACTGAGAACGCCTCCGTACACTCCTGTCTGACAAGATGTGACACAAGCCAGTCCCCACCGATCCTCCTGGGAGAGCATGTGTGCACAGGCCAGAGAAGAGGGAGAGCAGCCTTAAGGCCACGTCAAAAGTCTCAGCCCAGGGGAATTGTTCCCACACTCACTCAACTACCGGTGACCTACCCCTTCTTCAGGTTTTTCACATAGGCGCTCTGGAGGGCGGCTTCCAGGAAGTAGGTGAGCTCATAGTCAACCGGGTGACAGCCTTTCAGATGCCTCGACGTGCTGTTATTTGTGGTCTGGGAAGGGGAACAGAGAGAGAGCCGTTGTCTCAAAGTTCTGAAGCAGGGGGTCACTCAGCAAGAGGAGGTGGCCTCATCACCATCCCAGTCCCTGCTGTTCAAGGGCACATTGTTGCAATTCTCAGACCAGGCTCCATGTAACTCACTTTAACTCAAAATATGTCTAAAGCATTCTCTCCCCATCCAACTGTTAGATGCCCACAAGCCCTGTGTCTTTTTTTTTTTTTTTTTTTTTTTTTTAAGAAACAGGGTCTTACTATATTGCGCAGGCTCATCTCGAACTCCTGGGCTTAAACAATCCTCCCACCTCGGCCTCCTAAAGTGATGAGATTATAGGCATGAGCCACCACACTAAGCCCCTAATATTCATTCAACAATCACAGAACTTTAAATTCATTAACTCACTTAGTCCTTAGAGCAGCTCTACTAAGTAGGAACAGTCATCATTTCCATTTCACAGGTGAGAACAGAGAGGGTCTCTTCCTGCCCAAAGGCCACTCAGGTTGAGGGGTGGTGGCAGAGCCAGCGCAGTCAGGTTCCCCTCTCCCTTACCCCCTACTGCAGGATGACTTCCCTGTCTGTACAGAGCCATGCTGAGCACTCGCTCTTCAACCAGACAGCACTCATTGTCTGAGCACGTGGTAGAGACACCACTTCATGCAGCATTGCTACCCTGTTCTGCGTATGCAAACCTCAGCTCCCACCAGACTTCACTCCCACAGGACAGGAGCTGTCTCCTTAGTCTCACTGCTGTCCACACCTCACCTCCAGTTAAGGAAAGAGAAGGGGAAATGAAACTCTTACAAAATCGCCACCCAAGCCCAAATCTTATTTATGTCTCACAACTGTCCTACAGGGCTGGTTTTATTTGCATTTCATCGATGAGGAAACTGAGGCTCAGAAAATGTCTAAGGTCAAAAGCGTAAATTAGACATGGTGGCTCACATCTGTAATCCCAGCACTTTGGGAGGCCGAGGCAAGAGAATCGCTTGAGGCCAGGAGTTCCAGACCATCCTGGGCAAAAGAGTGAGACTCTATCCCAATCAATCCATCAATAATAATTTAATGCATAAAGTCACAAAGCTGGTGTCAGTCTGGACCTCAAACTCAAGCCTAGCCAGGAATGGATTCCAGGCTATTTGCACTATGTATCAGTTAATTCATTCCACAAACATCTGAGTGCCTGCCAGGCACTGTACTGTCCCTGTCAAACAAGCATGGAACATCAGAACATCTAGAGAACTGAGACCCCCCCTGGTTCCAGGAAAAGCTGAGGAATAATTACATCATTAACTGAGCTGTTGCTTAAAAGCCTCAGCCCTAACAGGGTCCTCCAGCCCAACAAGACTGGCCTGCCTTCTGTATACCATTTCCTTTGTCTAATCTGAGGGGAAAAAAATCTGAGGCATCCGCCTCTTCTTTCAGAATTCAGAGTAGATTTAAGAGAGGGTCTTAGTTCCTTAGAGGTCAAGACTAGGTCTCAGGAGGGACACACAGCATTTCTGAGGGTGCACAAGGTTCTATGGCCTGCCCTCCCTCAACTTAAGATAACAACTATAGGGCCCCGTTTGTCTGCCCACTGCTACCAGGCACTGATTCCGGCCCTGGACATCATCATCAGACATTTGACAGGGACAGTACAGTGCCTGGCACTATAGCTCATCACCTTAATCCCCTTTTGAAAGTCCAAAGCCTAGGCTTCCAGATGAGCAGCAGATTTTATCTTTTCCATGAAAGTTTCCTCCCAACCACATGCAATGCAAACATGAAAAGCTCCTAAAACACTACTACTGTCTAGCAGTGACCCATTCCCCTTTGGTGGAGGTCAGCTCAACCATGCTGAGTCTCTAAGTGGCCTCTGCCAGAGAATGGGCACTCAAGTCCTAGATTTGCTGAGCCCATCAGTCACTTCTCCTTTCCTCCTGAAGTCCAATCAAGGAGACATCTTCTAGAGCAGTGGCTGTCAGCAGGGGGGTGACTTTGCCCTCAGGGGACAGTTGTCAGTAACTGAAGACATTTTTGGTTGTCACAACGAGGGGGATAGTGCTACTGGCATAGTGGGGAGAGGCCATGGATGCTGCTAAACATCCTATAATATACATGGCAGCCCCCCGCCCCCACCACCAACAAAGAATTCTCCAGTCCCAAATATCAACAGCACTGAGGTTGAGAATCCTGCTCTAGGGGAAATGACCTGGCCTGGGGTAGACTCCTTCGAAATGGCCCATCACAAAAATGGGTACCGGACTGACATTTTGGCATCTGCTGAGGCAGGTGAGGTGCAAGTGTCTCCTGGGCTCTAAGTCTCTCAGTCCATGATCACCTCCTCCTTCAGGGCACCAACCCTAATCTACTCTGCTCTAGAACCTTCCATCTAACATGTTAAATATCTACTCCACAGCATACCTAAGCATCACCCCCAATATCTTCCCTGCGAGCATTCAGAGCCACACTCCCTGGGTTCAAATCCTGCCAATACCACTTATTAACGAGGTAAGCTCTGGCAGGCTAACTCCTCCTCAAATTTGTTTTCTTACTTGTAAAATGGGAACGACAACAGGGCCTATTTCATCCAGTCAGTGTGAGGGTTAAATCACAGAATGAATGTAAAGTGCTTGGAGTTGTGTCTGACACAAAAGCAGGCACTCAAGAAGGGCTAGCAGGATCTCTGTTGAATACAGTTTCCTGTCCCCTTAGCATTGAACTAAGGACCCCTCATGGCATAGTATTAAGATGTGGAGGGAAAAAGAATAAAATGGAGGCCGGGCACGGGCCTGTAATCCCAGAACTTTGGGAGACTGAGGCAGGCAGATCACCTGAGGTCAGGAGTTCAAAACCAGCCTGGCCAACATGGTGAAAACCATGTCTCTACTAAAAATACAAAAATGGTGGCAGATGCCTATAGTTCCAGCTACTCAAGAGGCTGAGGCAGAAGAATCGCTTGAACCCAGAGGCGGAGGTTGCAGTGAGCTGAGATCGTGCCACTGAACTCCAGCCTGGGTGACAGAGCAAGAATCCATCTAAAAAATAATAATTAATAAAATGCATAAAAATTAAAAGCAAAAAAAAAAAAATAAAATAAACCAGAGCCTCCCAGAAGGGGAAGGGCTGGGATACTTACCACAAACACTGCTACCACCTGTACTTGATACCCTGCAGAGTTAACTCAGACCCATCATAGGGAATGGAGAGGGAGGGAGATCTGAAAACTGCCAGGGCCCTGGTGACCAGCTCTTTCACCAGCCTCTGAAAGGCTCAGAGAAGGAATCCCAAGATCCTGCTTCCCCACAGGATCCAGGGAGGAGCTTCTGGGACACCAAGAGCAGGGAAGGATGTCCAGCTGCAAGACCCAGGCGGACACCACCCCTGCCAGGGAATGAATGGTGAGCAAATGATTCAATCTCCTAAAGCTCATCTATTAAACAGGGATAAGTACAACACCCACCTCAGGGGTGGCTGTGAGCAGTCAACAAGTTAACGGATACAAACAGGGCTGTTATGTTTGGTGCTGCAAGATGAGCTCACCAAGGAGCTCCTGGTGCCTAGCAGATGGCATGGACTCATTTATCTGTTAAACTATTTTCCAGTAAAGAGTCTCATTCTAGTGAAATCAGTATACTATAATGAGTTTTCCAACCTATGAAGTAGAGTGTCTTTGGGGGACAGAGAAGGTGCCTTCTAATTAGCACACAGGTGACCTATGGATTTAGTGGGATCTGTAGATATAGGTGCTCAATAGACAGCAGCTCCTACCACGGTGTTATTTCCAGCTCACCTTCTCCAATTCCTGCAGGAACACCTGAGCGATCCAGGAGGCCCTCTCAAAACAGGTGATCACTTCCTCCTCCCTCTCCGTCAGGCGGAAGCGGGAAGCGATGGAGTTGGGTAGGCGTTCCAGAGAGAGGCCTGCAGGAGGAAGAGGGCGCCTCAGACCTGCCCTGCTCGGGCCGCCTGACTCCAGGCCCTCCCCATGGGCCCAGGGTGGGCTCATCCGAGGGGGCACACACTCTGGTGCAGCCAGGAGGAGGCGGAGGTCTGCGGAGGGGAGGAGGAAGCTGAAGCGACGGTGGTGTTAGCAGTGGCTGGGAGTAAGCGATGGGACAGCACGTGGGGAATCACACTGCATCACCCCAGCCCAACTCCCCGGGAAGCTACTCCTGACCCCTCCTCTGTAACGGAGTATCCCCATTTTTCTAAGCAAAAGAGAAGGAGGTTTTTTAAAAAAACGTATTTTTTTCTTTCCTCTTTCCTCCTTTTCCTGTTCCCCACTTCCTACTTAGCTCTTTAGAAATGCAAAACCTTTACCTTCCCTTCACCAGACACTCCCTACACAGCAAGCTTATCCATGTGCTGACTTAGAAGCTCCAGAGCCAGAACTTTCCCACCAGGAGACTGCCTCTAGAGGTAACAGTCAATTCACATCCTAAAGTGTGACTGAGAAGGAACTCTCTCCCAACCGGAGAGTATCTTGAAGCAATGCTCACTTTACAACCTGGCTCTGCCCACGATGGTGCCAGCTCGACTACCTGCTAGGTAAGGCACCAAGGCAAGTCATGCAGACCCTGCACTTGCTTGCTCCCTCCTCTGCATGGCGTTCATGCCAAGTCCCCCTTTAAAAGCCCCGGCTTTTTGCCCAGGAAGTGAAGTGGTTATCTTTTAAGGCAGGAGCCTGTACCGCTTCCCCTAAGCTAAGCTTTGGAATAAAGTAACTTTCTTTATTCCAGACCTCACTCTTGTTAATTGGACTCTGCAAGTGGCGAGTGACTGAACTGCGTTTCAGTTACAATTTTGGTGGCCCCTATGAGGACTGCAGCACACTTCGGACGACTGAGCCTATCAGCCTGGTTTCACTACCAGGCAAGGTGGGGGATGCCTGGGAGTGCCAGCTGCTCCTGGCTACTGGACTCTAGAACAGAAATGTTAAGGGGATTTCTCAGCAGCTGCCAAAATGTTCTTGTTTTGGGGAACCTCCCTTTCACCCCCTGGCATGACATCTGCTGCCTCCAATGCTTCACTGGTACAAAGAAAGTGACCTCTGAAGAAGCCAGCAACCTTGAAACTGGATGAGCAAGCTAGAGTATACCTGACGTTTTTCTGTCTCTTCTGGGTGTCCCTGGGACTTCACTCTGTGAAGACTTGGCCGCTACCAGCATCATTTGGGCATTTTGAGCATTTGCATCTGTGGCACTATAGGGACTCAGCTGCCTGTCAAGGTATCTCCAGCTGAGGCAGGGGGTTCAGAACTCCACTCAGGCCCTGGAGTCCCTCTACTCAGACTGGGGATTTTGTTTGGAAGCCGTTTGTTTGTGTGAATGTAATGACTTTGTGTACAGGCTGATTTCTTTCTTTCCTGAGTTCCCTCCGGGTGGAAACAGTTCACCTCAACCGGTGACCTGCGGCAGTGGGAGGGATCGGTCCTCCGCCACACTGGGCACTGAGGCCCTCCCTGACAGGGGATAAATGAGGGTAGCAAGGGTATCCCTGCACCGTGTGGTGGCTGGAAGGCTCTCAAGCTCCTCTTCTGTCACTCTACTTTTTCCTCTCTCTTTCCATTCTCTCTGTCATGCCACTCTTGGAGAACCTGGCTGTGCTGCAAAAGCCAGCCAGAAATTTCATACTCTTATCTCTTCCGTAAAATGCAAGGACAAGTTTCTCCCCTTCCCTTCACTTTGCTGTTCCACAAGCCTCATTTTCAGGGGCTCCATTCTGTTCCTGGGCCTTGGATTTAAAGAGGGAATAGGATTGGACATTGGCAACAAGGTCTCTGGCCCCTCAAAGAGCCCCTTGGGGTGCATTTTGGTTAATTGAAAAGCATACAGTTGTGAGCCCATGACTAGGAAAAAGAGGATCTTTTACCATAATACTATCTGGACCCAATACCACCTGGGCCACAATGAATTCTGGCCTGAAGATGGGGTTACTTGGTTACACTTGCAGTTGTTAGAAGAAAAACATCCACTCTCCTGGTGCTCACCATTTTCTACACTGTATTTTGGTAATCTCTGGCCAGCTCTTCTCTCCCTAACTAGCTGAAAGCTCCATGGGGGCAAATATGAACCTTTCTGGACAACCACAACCCTTGCACAGCACCTCACACAGTAGGTGCTCAAGTTATGCAGCATTTTACATGCACGCTTCCCATGGAACCCAACAGTTCCTCCCTGCAGAAGTTACCCATGCTCAGGTCTCTGCCTGCAGGGGACGACCACTTTCCCATTTATCAGTAATAGCACCTTCCTCTCCTTTTGACCACCTCTCCCGCAATCTCAGATGATCATGACCGCCACAGCAATCAGCTAAGTGTGGGCACATGGCCCAATCTGGGCCAATAAAAAACAGTCTCAGAATTGTCACTCTTTCCACTGGGGTTGTTAAGCTGGTATCAGACATCAGTTTAGAAATGTTAGAGAAAACCTGCCTTAAAATGAAGTCTATACAATGTGAATATAAATAACACTACTGAAGTGTACATTTAAAAATGGCTTAGATGGTAAATTTTATGTTGGATGGGGCTTTTTTGCTGCAATTTAAACATTTTTTAAATAAAAGCTTCAAGGCCAAAACCAAAAAGCTCAAAAAATAAAAACAATCTGTAAGAAACAAAGAAGGGATATAGCATTGTTAGCCATACTAGAAACTAATGCTGTACAGAAAAACAACTCTATTTGCATCAGGTTACTTTTTTTTAAGACAGGAAAAATACTGAATAAACTCTTAGTCATGAAAAAAATGAAATCCATGCAAAGAAAAGGTAAGACATGATGGAGAAGGGTGGATTTCTAAAGAGACTGAGTACCTAGATCCAGCTTTGCCTGAAGCTCTACCTGCTGGAACTTTCCAGTGTATGAGCGCCATTAAATACCTCCCATGTCTTCTCCCTCCCTCCCTCTCTCCCTTCCTCCCTCCCGCTGTCCCTTTTTTTGACACTTGCAGCTAATATAGACCTGACTAGAGAGTGCTGTCCTTCTGAACTATTGTTTCTCAATGGGGAGAATCAATGTCTGTCTCTTCTTTGTGACCACACGGTACTTTAGGTACTTTACATGTGAAGACGAACTTACTGAAGAGATGTATAATAGAAGAATCCTCAACTGTTTCCTGCCCTATAAGCCCCAACATCCACGTAATGACCAAGTCCTCAAACCTTCCCTTCCTCTCTTCCTACTACTTTATATCAGGTTTTATGTCTTGAGCGGATGACTATATTGGCCTCCTAACTGGCCTCCCTGCCTCCAGTCTCACTTTAATCCCCAGGGGGATCCATCTAAAACTCTCCAGGGGTCCATACTGCTACAGGGTAAGGTCCAACCTCTGGAGGCTCCATACCAGGCCCTTCTGGTATCAGTTCTCCAGCCTCATCTCTCGCCTTACCTGCCACATCCACACCCGACCTCCTGCTCCCAACTGCTTGGTTGTAGGATGCCTTCTTGACTCGCTCAAGTTGTTCCTCCTGTGTGGAGTGTATCCACCCCACCAAGTCTACCCAAAATTACTGTTCACATTCTGACCTAGTAAATGCTACCTCCTCTACAAAGCCCTTCCTGATAGTCCCTGGTATAACCAAACATTCCTCCTTTAAGCCCCAGTCTATACATATTCCTAACTCACCATTTCTTACACTTATTTGTTCATATGTTTCCCCAGACTGTAGACTCCTTCAAGACATCAACCTAATCGTGCTTGCTTTTCTACCACCTGGCACACAGTAGGTACTGGACAAGCATTTGCTGGCTGGATGAAAAAACACAAGCCTGGTCATGTCTGACAGAAAACAAAGTGCTCTGCAAATACAAGGTAAGGAATTATTGTTTTTCTTAGCCACATTCCCATGCACACAGATTCAGTGACCTTGTCCTTTGCCAGGCTGGGGTGTGACCAGATCCAAAGTTCGGGTGCGTTGGCCTGGAGGAAGGCGGGCACAGAACATGAAGGTCCTTGCTCAACACAAAGACCCAGGTTCCTGGGTCACCACATGTCAACGTGCCTCCTGCCAAATGACTCACAACCAGGAGGGGGAGGATCCTCATTCCAGAGGACTAAAGGGGGAAGAGGAACCGAGAAAGAATCAAGGAGGCAGGCCTCGTTGCTCACTGCCAGAGCTGGGCCAGCCCCTGCTCCCTAGACATGCAGCCTATCCACCCTGCAAGAAGGTGGGGCGAACCTATGAACTGTTGAGAGGCCTGGCCCAGGAGACCAACCGCACATGGCAGGGCACAGCCAATTCCAGGGGACATAGAGTGGATCTGTTTCAACACAGCTGCCCTGTGGTCCCCAGAGAGATGTGCTGAGACTGGGCTCCCTCCTGCCACACCTCTGGGTCCAGCACTGGAATGGGTGATGCCAGCTGCTGTCAAGTTCAAGCTGCCAGTTCCAAGCCTCCAGAGGGCTGGCCACTGCAAAGCTGTGAATTCAGGAAAAATGGTCTGTGGGGCTTCCACCTTCCCCGTGTGGCATTTGTTCCTTCCACTCTCAGCAGGGACCTCCCCACCATGCTTCTCCAAGAACCTCAAATCCCATCCTCCTTGAAAGCTCAAAGTAGGCCAGGCAAAGTGGCCCACATCTGTAATCCCAGCACACTGGGAAGACCAGGCAGGCGACTGCTTGAGCTTAGGAGTTTGAGACCAGCCTGGGAATGTGGTGAAACCCTGTCTCCCCAAAAATAGAAAAAAATAGCTGGGCTTGGTGGTGCATACTTGTGACTCTAGCTACTCAGAAGACAGAGGTGGGAGGATCGCTTGAGCCCGGGAGGCGGAGGCTGCAGTGAGCCAAGATTACACCACCGCACTCCAGCTGGGTGACAGAACAAGACCCCATCTCAATTTAAAAAAAACCTCAAAGGAAAGCCACCTCTTCTCTGAAACTCTGCCAGGTAGAGTTAAGCCTCCCTGTGTCTAAACCACTTGAAC